CCCCCCCCCCCCCCCGTACCTCACAATAGTGTTCATGAACTTGATGCAGTTTCTATTATGGGTCCCATTATTCAAGTATGGGAATTGTCCTGTATTACCTTTTGAGGCTGGAGCCATTCACATCACTTCATCGTAGTCTACAGGTATTTTTCTTTCTCCAAGTGTAGCCCCTATGGTATTTTTCTTTTACAATATGTCGTGGGATTGCTTTTTTCGTGAAAATTTGTGTAGCACACACATATTCACTAAATAGTTTCTTTTGTGGTCAGGGTGGTAAATTTGATCATGCAGATCGTCTTTTTCAAAGCATTGAGGGCACATTTCGGAACTGCCTGTCCAACACAAGTGATGTAAAAGAATTAATCCCTGAATTCTTCTACATGCCAGAGTTCCTAGTGAATTCCAACTGCTACCATCTTGGAGTGAAACAAGATGGCGAACCTCTTGGAGATATTTGTCTACCTCCATGGGCTAAGGTTTGAATCTCTCTCATGATTGATCTTAAAGATAACAAATTTCTGGTTGGACATCGAATCATGAAGCATGGTTGGGGTAACTGCATATATGCCACATTTGGTTGTAAAAGCCCTTTTTTTCGCTCATAGGATCTATATTTAAAAATGACAGTTTGCTTGTGCTAGGGAGGTTACTTATAGGATCTATATCCACTTTACCTGGACATTGATTAAGTGAAGTGCCAACAGTGCTTTGTTTTCTTCTCTTTTAATGGTGCTTGGGCGGTTAGGAAGCGTAAAGATGACTAGGGTCTTTTTCCTAGACAACTGTTTTGCCTCCTTTCATTTCTATCATTCTATGTTTGTTTGCCTTCACAAAAACTCACTTTTGAGTTCTGAATGCAGGGTTCTCCAGAGCTGTTCATTGCTCGTAACAGAGAAGCTCTAGAGAGCGAGTATGTTAGCTCACATCTCCATAATTGGATTGATTTGATTTTTGGATACAAACAACGTGGTAAACCAGCCGTTGAGGTATTCTGATTCTTTTGTCAAAATCTTTTGCTTAAATTGGTGAACTATTCTCCAATTTCCTGCTCACTAAAATTTCAAGTTAAACTTGGACTGCAGGCAGCAAATATCTTTTATTACCTAACATATGAAGGTGCCGTTGATCTGGAAAATATGGAAGACGAGTTGCAAAGATCAGCTATTGAAGATCAGATTGCTAATTTTGGTCAAACTCCAATCCAGATCTTCCGTAAGAAACATCCAAGACGAGGACCACCTATTCCAATTGCACATCCCCTGCACTTTGCGCCCGCTTCTATTAGTTTGACTTCCATTCTTCCTGCTACAACACATCCACTATCAGCAGTTCTATACATTGGTTTAGTGGATTCAAATATAGTTCTAGTTAACCAGGGTCTCACCTTATCAGTGAAGATCTGGTTGACTACTCAACTTCAGTCCGGTGGAAATTTTACTTTTTCTGGCTCCCAGGTAAGTTTCCTGTTAAGCTTTCTATATTCTTCTAATTCAATACTTTGGCTTGCAACTGCTGTAAAAGCCTTTGTGGTTGCAGGATCCATTCTTTGGAGTTGGTTCCGATGTTCTACCTCCTCGAAACATTGGAAATCCAGCAGCAGATAATATTGAACTTGGATCACAGTGCTTTGCCACAATGCAAACACCATCTGAAAATTTCCTGATTTCATGCGGGAACTGGGAGAACAGTTTTGATGTCATATCCTTGGCAGATGGACGGGTTGTCCAGAGCATCCGACACCATAAAGATGTTGTCAGCTGTGTCGCAGGTATGCTTTTCATATTCTGATTCTTTTTTTGTTCAATGTCTCCTCTGAGATGAAAATGTTGTCGAGAATATTGTGGGCATTGAGCTTGAATTTCCCAGAGGATCATCAACAATGGTATGTCATGCTTGGGAAAAAACTTAGTCGTATGTACTCTGGTCCATAGTTCCACGAATATATACGTCTCAGTTCATATCGATGAACCTCTCTGACAAAGAGAACCTAACTAGGGCTCTAACCACATGACTAGTTTATCTTTTTAAGGCCTCAGAGTAATCTTTGTAGGTTGACATTTGCTGGAACTATTAATGGCATTCTAAGACATCTTTGATGCTGCAGTGACAGCTGATTCAACCATCCTTGCAACTGGTAGCTATGATACGACTGTAATGGTGTGGGAGATTGTCCGTACGAGAACATCCGAGAAGAGAGTTAAAAATTCACATGCGGAGGTACTCCGGAAAGACCATGTCGTGGCCGATGCTCCTTCCCATATTCTATGTGGCCACGATGATATTATCACTTGCTTATATGTCAGCGCCGATCTTGATATAGTCATCAGTGGGTCAAAAGATGGAACTTGCGTGTTCCACACGTTAAGGGAAGGAAGATACGTAAGGTCACTGAAACATCCTTCAGGTGGTGCAGTGTCGAAGCTTGTTGCCTCCCAGCACGGCCGGATTGTTCTGTATGGGGATGATGATCTGAGTCTGCACCTATTCTCCATTAACGGGAAGCATCTGGCAAGCTCCGAGTCCAATGGCCGAATCAAGTGCCTTGAACTGAGCAAGTGTGGAGAATTCTTGGCCTGTGCAGGTGACCAAGGACAGGTGGTTGTCTGGTCAATGAACACACTCGAAGTAGTTAGAAGGTACAACGGTATCGGGAAAGTAATCACCTCTCTGACGGTAACTCAAGAAGAATGCTTCTTGGCTGGGACGAAAGACGGGAACCTTCTGGTTTATTCTATAGAGAACCCGCAACTTCGGAAACCCGGCTTACTATGGAGCTCAAAATCAAAATCTGGTGTTGCAGGGTAAGATCTGATGCTGAGTTCTGTCTGTAAATGTTATTGTCTGGTCCATATTTTGGATGGTGGAGGGGAGGGGATGATGCTTGATAGGGTCAGTAGTAATGGTGTTTTACTGACATCCCAAAGAAGAGGGATGGACACTGGCTTGTACATGTGCAGTATACTTGAAAAAGAATCTTAACTGTTAGATTAGGGAAGAAGAAAAACTAGAGAAGTGTTGATTGATGTAAGAATACCACAGTGTTTGCATAGAACAGTCTCTGGATTTGTCTGAAGAGGTAAAACTGTATACTATACTTCATCAGGAGAGAAAAAAAACATTCCAATTAGAGTAGGGCTAAGCTTTTTACTGCCTATAGTTGTTGATTTTATTGTCTGTATAATTAAGATGTCAATTATTGCTTTTTCATTCACTAAATTATTGTTTGCAAGTTCTTTTTTTTTTGGGGTGTTACTGATGTAATACATCTGATTTTATAAGTGATCTCCATGCACATGGGCGGACCCAATGAGCCTTGCTATGGAGGTCACATTCCCCCACTTTTTAATGAAAAAAATTTCACTTTCATTATATATTTCATAAACTTTTAATCAAAATTGTTAAATCCCCCCCCCCCCTTTACAAAATTAAATTTACTCTTACCATGTCCCCAATTATAAATCTTTCTGGGCCATGCACCAAATTGGTCTGTGTTACTTTGCTAGCTCTAAACAATTTCAAACAAGATTACGAGAATCAGAATCTCATCCTTTTTTTTTTTTATTGGAATTTAGATTCATTTGTTTTAACAAAGGATGGTGGCGGTGGATGATCATGATGACACTGCTGTTTGTGAATCGTACTAATACTTCCCCCAACCAACAAGTTAAAAGAACAACAAAAGAATGCGTGTGTCAATCTATCTATGCGAACGGGGTTAGTAGGTGAGGTGAAGGAATCAAGAGATGGTGATGTGGTAGAGAGGATCAGGGGACTCGAGGCGGATGTAGTCGTACATGAGGCCTTGGAAGGGGCTGACGGCAAGCGGCTGGGTGAGGAAGATGGTGTTGTTGCCTCGGAGCAGAGAGGAGGAGGGGACGTCCACGCTGTTCAGCCAGTACACCCCATGTATCCCATTATTATATTTTTATTGATTACAATGAATAATTATTTTATTTATTGATTTTTACCAAAAAAATATTTTATTTATTAGTTAGATTCAGTTTATTTCAGATTTGATTTGAAGTTGAAAATATTGCTGATCGTTGTAAGCGATCATATATACTATTGAATTAAATTTGTTCAGAATTTGGATGAACAAAATTTTCCTAAATTGAAAAAAATAATTGCAAATTACTTTATTTTGATTTATTTCAAATTTATTTTGGATTTGATTTCGTTTTTTCCATTTATAATGTATGTATAAATTACATATATTCACACAAAAAAAGTAAAATTAAGGGGGAAAACGAGATTTACCGGTCACTAATAAGGAATCTACCGGTAACACTGCCACGTCGATCAGAGCCCGGGAAATCCCCAGAAGTTGGGAACTCGTATGGCCACATCTGTTCTTCAATCCTTGTCTGAAAAAAAACACCAACAGTTTCACAATCTTTTGTTCTATCTATAACACTTCAAAACGTATCATCTCCCCCGTCGTGAACAACAACGGCGTCTTCGGATCGTTTACTCGTACCTATTTTTTTTTTTTTTTTTGCACAAAAAAATGTCAAAAAATCGAAATAATTAATGAAATTAGAGAGATATACTAATTAATAAGTAGTGGGTGTTTAGTTGCAGTTGTAGTTATACATATTTGCTTTCGGATGTAAAAAATTTAATAATAATGATATTCATCTTTTTAACGTGTAAGTTTTCATTTTTTTAGTATTGGCAATTAAAACTGCTAACCTTCGAAAATGAATAAATAAATTCAAACGCAGACGCAAACGCAAACGCAGACGCAAACCTGTAGCTCGGCAACATTAGCGGTGGCCAAAGCGATTCGGAGTTTGTAGGAGGAAGATGTTTCGTTCACCACTTTATCCAATTTAAACTTGATTTGCCATGTCGTTCCGTTATATCCTCCCTCCCCCACCTTTCTGCATCCACACAGTTTTTTTTCCCCATATGTTATACAATAATCATATAGATTCGCAATTAATTAGAGGTCGTCATATATATATATATATATAATATTATATTTTACTTGTGAGGCCAAATCCTTAATTATCCCGGTGTAGAATCTTTCCAAACTTTTAGGACGCTTGTTGAAAATTATATATATTATGGTATATATATATATATATAACTAACTTGGAAACATATATCAAATCACTAACCTCGTGACTTGCATGAAGAACCAATCTTTGGTATAATCATCAGCATCAACGTCGAAGACCAGGTCTTGGTCGGGATATAACTCCGTATATCTTTCCCACAGACCGTACTGCCGGAATCGATCGTGGTCCATATACAGTTTGTTTGTGTATCTCGGATCCGGATTCGGAATGTAGAATTCCGCCGCGGTCCTGTCCGGAACTCCAATTTCCCAAATAGTTGGACCGTCTCTCGGTGGTTCATATATTAGTTCCCCAATGTCAATATTTGAACCTGCTTCACATCAATACTTTTGTCATTATATGTATATATATATATATATACTATCCAAATTAACAAGAAAAAAATAACAGGAAGAAAATAATATATATAAATATATATTATATTATTCAATGTCAATATTATATTATATATAGAGAGAGAGAGAGAGACCAATTGTTACAACTCCAACAAGAAAAGAAAATGAAGCCAAACATATGAAATAACAATTCTTTTTTGTTATGATTATCATAAGAGGGAGTGAAGAATATAAATTATCCTAAATTAACAAGAAAAAAATAGACAAAGGAATTTTTGGGTTTAATTTGTTTTCAATTTTAGAAATTAATTTTTTTAAAAAATATTTTTATATCTATCTACACACTGAAATTAATCAGTTTTGGTATCTATTAAATCCAAAAATTAGTTAAAATTAGTTATCATTTTATATATATTTTTAGAATAAAAAGAGTAACGGCGGAAATTAGTGAGACCTGAAGCAATGTCGATGACAGTGTCATTATGATAATCGCCGATGAATCCCGAAGCCCATCCGTATATGTTGTATTTGCCACTTCTCACATTTTTTATTAAGAAATGTCCATTTTCATCCACCTTTGTCCAAAACTGATAGCCCTGCAACACAAAAAATAAATACATAATATTTTTAAAAAAATACATAATAATGATGGTTAGAATATTTAATTTTATCTTAAATCAATGGTTTAACAAAATAAGCAATTAGAAAAAGTAATTACTAGTTATTTACTTTGCATTCTTTTTGCCACGACCCAACATCTCCGGGTGCAGCCAATCCGACGTACGAGCCGTTTCCCGATATATACTCACTACTTATATATCTATAAAAAACAATAAAGAATAATTTTTCAAAAAATAAAAATAAAAAAGGACAAAAAACATCTAAAACATTGTCACAATTAAATTCTATCATTTTTTTCTTAAAATAAATTAACTATGGATATTAGGGATTATTATATTTTTATTGATTACAATGAATAATTATTTTATTTATTGATTTTTACCAAAAAAATATTTTATTTATTAGTTAGATTCAGTTTATTTCAGATTTGATTTGAAGTTGAAAATATTGCTGATCGTTGTAAGCGATCATATATACTATTGAATTAAATTTGTTCAGAATTTGGATGAACAAAATTTTCCTAAATTGAAAAAAATAATTGCAAATTACTTTATTTTGATTTATTTCAAATTTATTTTGGATTTGATTTCGTTTTTTCCATTTATAATGTATGTATAAATTACATATATTCACACAAAAAAAGTAAAATTAAGGGGGAAAACGAGATTTACCGGTCACTAATAAGGAATCTACCGGTAACACTGCCACGTCGATCAGAGCCCGGGAAATCCCCAGAAGTTGGGAACTCGTATGGCCACATCTGTTCTTCAATCCTTGTCTGAAAAAAAACACCAACAGTTTCACAATCTTTTGTTCTATCTATAACACTTCAAAACGTATCGAGTTCACAACGAAATCCCATGTTCTTTTCATGTGTATATATACACACACACACATACACATATATATACACACGTATGAACTCTTGATATTAGTATGAGATTTCGCTGTTTCAAGACCTGGTTTTTGGCTTCATTCCAAAGCAGAAGAGGATCAACTCCTTGTGGAAATGAATTGAGATAAACGAAGACCGGTCCGAAAACTTTCTTCCATGCCTCACCTTCCTCGAAGCTTATTATAAGCTCTTTCCCCACATAATGCGTACTATGGAAGATCTGTTCAAATTCGCTCCGAAAACGTTCCCATTTTCGACATTTCGAGCAGATTTTAGCCGTTATGTATAAGGATATGTAGCAATATGTAACCACAGTTTATCAGAGAGTCCTCTATGGATTGTATCTATATAATACGTAAGGAATTCAAGGTTAAACCATAGTTATATATATATATCAGGCGAATGAATGATGACTAACCGTGAGATGTGTAGGACCGACATGAGAGTTGAGGAACTGCTTGAGCGGTCCTGCAGACCGAAACTCGTTGCTTGGAGTGATTTGCCAGAAACCTACCGAGTCGTTTGTGCTTATCCATCCATGAACTTTGAGATCTTTGCTTTCCATCGAGTATGCGTACTTGTCATCCACCTGCAAGCGAATGTTATATTGACAGGATAAATCCCGCGTTTTGAACGAGAAATCGAAACTTGTGTTCTAAAATATCACACATCTAGTGCAAGAAACAGTGCACGTTTCTTTGTTTCCGAGCTTCTTGAAACGGTAACTTTGGTTTTAAGACGCGAAACTCGGGCCAATACCTCTCCTTTAAACTCGGGCTCTCTAGGGTCGATGAGCAAAACTGCTTCGGGGTAAGCCAAGGCTTGACCTCGGGGAGGAACCCGATCTTCGGGCAGGGGCATGTACCTTTGCCTTTCATCCGATATCGCCATGTAATGAAACCTGAACAGAAATTTTTGTCAGAAATGATGAATCCATCATCAAGATTCATAGAAATTTCATACTTGTCCTCGTTGAGCTTGAATGCTATTCTGATATTGTCGACTTCCACGGCGGGCCACCCTTCCAGACGCTCGAAGATGGCGTAAGTGTAGAAACCCGACGAATTTCTCAGCATCACAAACCTGATGAAAGCCACGATTTCATCAATCACTCTCCTACACAGTTCATATAATTGATTCTAGGATATAAAAAAAAAAAACAGACATCGAACTTTAGTTACCTCTTGTCTATATTCACGGGAACAGCTTTATCCAATGATGAATTCCACGTCCTCGTAAAAGAAAGCTCGATCTGTTCGTCGTTCTGTACAATCACTTCGAGCTTAGTTGCTTCAATCCTGTCACATGGAGTGTGAAATCAAACAGAATCTTTGAATGAATCATAGAATTTTATGAAAATATCAGTATTTTTTTTAACCTGTCCACTGTGCCTTTTGTGACCTTTGTTGTTTTCCCTGGAAAGTTCCAGACCAAATCCCAATATCTGCGACACAAAATATCGACTAATCCGTGAAGATAATCGATAGAGTAACCGTAAATCATACCGGTTCTTCACAAAGAACTCGTATGGATCGATACGAAACCCGGAAAACCTGTCTGTTCGCCGTTTTCTTGGAACTGAACTGATACAGAAACTTCATGTCACAGATGTAATGAAAGTAGAACGAGGAGGCGGGCCAATTTACTCACGTACCCTCGATCATGTTCTGAGCCGTTGTATGCGAGCACATTGGAGATTCCATGGTACTGAATTCCTGTAACGAATCCTTCGGGGTTCGACAAAGTTACTTGAAGAATGCCGTTATCCATAACCACCTGCTTCCGCATCATTAACTTATGTCATTGCCAGTATGTTAAAAAGGCATACTTAACATACAGTATATCGATCGAGATAACTTGCAGATCAAGGAACCAGAAAAGAAGAAGCAATCAGAAGCTTCAATCACCGATTTGGCTTTGAGAAATGGAACAGAAACTGATGGAGGAAAGACAAGATGAAGAAGATGATGATGATGGGGAAACCTTACATGTTGATCTTGGTAATGCAACTGTAATGCTTGTTCTGATTCTGGAGGAGTTTGACAGATTGCGATCTCTGATAATACCGAAAACACGATGAACGCTTTTATCCATCCTCTCAGTCGCAGATTCCGCCGATTCGAAGGCCCTTTTGTTGCAAACATGCACATACACATACACCAACGATAACATGAATCGCCGCTTTTAATCGTCAAGAAAGAGTTATCGGCTGAAAAACGCGCTTATAAACAGAGCAGTCTAAACGCAAGGTTATCTGAAAAATGAACATGGTTCAGCGTTTGCGTTCGCGTTTGCGTTTCAAACGGCGTAAAAACAGAAAAAGTTCAAGACTTTACAAGTAATCACGAGATTTTAGGACATGGGTATCCGTCGTCTGAGGTTTTTTTGTTTTGTTTTTCTCTTACCTGTGAGAAACCCGACAAAAGAACTGAAGACATGTGAAGAGAGATCCATGATCAGAGATTTTAAGCCTTGTCGAAATTCTGTCCACACAAAAAGTCAGGAAAAGGGTTATATGAAGAGACATGTGAACTTGTGGACAAAACCAAACCCATGGAAAAGTCCAAAGAATGATTCATAATAACCGAAGAATAAATCTATCTAATTTTCCTAATCTACGATGAAAAACCTTTTGATGGTGTAAGATAAAGACAAAGGCATAAAGTAAAACCAAACATGTGAACTGACCAAAGAAGAAGAGGAGGAAGAAGAGTGGTTAGGCAGCAGAGTCAGCGGAATTGGTTTTCCCCTTTCCTTTGGTTATAAACAAAGCATTCTTCCTAAACCCCATTGCCTCAACTCACGCCAACTCATCTTTAAATCCCGAATATTTGATTCTTTATTATATATATATATATATATATATATCGCGTGATTTGATTGTATTTAATGTGATGGAAATATGGTATCTACAAAAAGTTATTACCTGGTAATACCAATAAAAAATAAAAGATTTTAGGTTGATTTTATTGAATCTATATATATACATAACATTAATATTGATTCATTAATGTGAATTAAAATAAAGAAAATAAATAAATTTAATGGTACTAATTTAGATCATATAATGTTGATAATCTTACGAGAGGACCATATACATATATATATATATATATATATATATATATGTATGTATGTAAGAATATAACAAATCCTAATGCTTGAAGCAAACGTTGTACGTTTCTTTCCAACTACGTGGGCTGCTTGTTTCTAAACAGGGAAAGAATTTACAATGTTGGTAAGTAAATATTTTTATTATATTCACTTTCCCTTGTTTTTTAATTGCCAAAAATATATATTAACTTTTATTTCATAATGCATTATTCAGTTCTCTATTAAACTAAGGTCCAATTACTTGTATCTTTAAAATTTTCAATTTAAAAAAAATAATATGCTTATAATTTTTTTTTATCATATTTATCTTCATTTAGGATTATTTAGGATTTATTTTTTATTGAATAAAGATTCATTTTTAAAGAGATTTTTTGTCTCTTTTTTGTTATTTAGTGCCCTTCAAGTAGATTGAATTTGCAAATTTTCATGGAATTTGTCTTGAATCAATGAGATTTTTTTTTTTGAAAGACCTATTCAGTTGACACATTTTTCTATAGCGAAAATAAACTATGAAAATAATATTTATCAAACATAAAGCAAAAATATGCAAGCCATAAAAACATAAAAAAACAAAAAACAAAAGAAATTAAAATAATGAGCGGGTACCTTGATTCAATATATTTTGGAGAAAATTTCTTCGGTTGTTGTATGGTTTCCACTTATTCAAATCCAACACTAAAATATGTTTTGAAGGATACATTTCTCATATACCTTCGATCCAAAATCAAGAATTCTTCTCTTTTGGAATAATTTTCATTTACGCTAATTAAATAATTTCGAGACATTTAAAATGGAAAATGCGAATGTTTAGTTAGAAACGTGAATCCAAAGGTAAAGAAAAACATTTTAAATAATAAAGGGAAAATATCTATAACAGTCTAGGGAACTATTTTTATCAGTGCAATATTTATTGAATTTAACCACTAATTCTAAAATTTCTCTTCGTTGTGGGTATATTACTTGCATTTTAGGATGCAAATCGGTGTGCATATTTGACGGTATTTGGAATATTTTAATTATATAATAACAATTCTCTTATAAATTAGAATTAACGCTATGTATATTTGACAAATTGATGGCTCAATTGGTAAGGGATGAGATAATTTTTTTTTTTATTCCATATTCGAGTCTCCATTGAGGACGGATATTTACATGAAATCTCCGGTTTTTTGGAAATATAATTAGAAATTTTTTATTATAAAAAAAACTTATCCTATATAATTATGTTTAGAGATTGAAATTTCGTCGTTTCATTTATGTTTCATTTATTTTATTTTTAAAATTGATTATTTCGATATAATACAAACTTTATAAATTCGACTTTTAAATTATTTTTTTTGTGAGTGGTCTTCGATTAGGTTTGGGTTCATTCTTTAATATAAAAATATTTTCATTTTTATATTGATTTTCAGTTATTTTTGTATTCAGAAACAAATTATTTGATTTCGAGAAAACATATTGAATCACTTTTTAAATCGGGTATTATTCGGTACAATTATTTATTTTTCCATTTGGTTCTCCTCATCGTATCTTGACATTTTTCATCTGCAATTGTAAAACTATTAATCCCTTTTATTGTCAAACAAACTAAAGAAGTGTTACAACTCTGTAATTTTTATTCTATTATATTTCAAAATTCATTACGTGATTTTGTTGTTTTAACGTCTAGATTCACGAAATGCCTATAAATAACGATGTGGACAGACGACGATAAGCGGAACCCATAACAAAAAAAAAAGGTTTCTTCACTCATGAACTCTTCAAAAGCAAGAACTCAAAGACCAAGAGAGTCATTGAAATTGTCATGACACAGAGATTAGATCACAAGGAATATTCCGACATTCATTTAGAAAGAAAGCAAGCAGTCTAATAAATCAGAAAAGGGATCAATCATATTTGTTAACCAAATGCAAGAGGAGGAGAAGGCCCTTCTAATCGAATGTAATCATACATTATGCCTTGGAAAGGACTTGTGCTCCTTGGCTGAGTGAAGAAGAAGGTATTGACGCCTTCAACGAACTTAGAACCAGGCACTTCAATGCTGAATAACCAGTACAAACCGTGTATTCCGTGCCTCGCTATCGAGTTATCCTTCCCGATCAATCCGCTCGTGAACAACGGACTTCCATTCGCATCATTCACCCGAATCTGTTAAAATGATAAAAACAAACATATATATATATATATGTATATATATATGGAGTTGGAAGATTGAAGTTGATTTCAATAGACATTGGAGACGATTGAGATCAATTAGAAATACAAAATCATTTAAAAAAATTAAAGTGTGATTATGCCAATTATCTCTTGTGTTAATAGTTTCAATGACATCTTATTTCTGTTTCTCATTTTGTCATATGATCATAAATGAGATTTAGAGTAAATGTTGAATGGATATATATATATATATATATATATATATATGTTATATAACTATATGTGTATTAATTAAGTGTATATACCGTACGTACTTGGAGTTCAGAAAGGGTGGCTGATGCAATGGCAACTCTTAAGGTGTATGAGTTTGCCTTATCCACACTCTCTAGTTTGAACTTGATCTGCCATGTTGTCCCTTGATATGTTTTGTTGTCTTTTTTCCTGCATTATCAAAAAAAAAAAGATTCCATCTGGGTGTTTTTTCACTAACAGTTCCTAAAAAAAAAAAAAAAAAAAAATCGGGTGGACAAA